CCCCTCCTCTGCCTCCAATACCCAGACAGGTCCTCACTACCCTGTTTATACAGAGTTTGTGACACTCCGCCCCTTTCTTCCTCATCTCAGAGGCTTCTCTTCCAGCCACCCTCCCCACCTTACCCTACATTTCAGTTCCCTGCACTTGTCAATAACCCCTTGCACAATACCACAGTACCACTGGCTCCACGCTCCTGTATGCACAGAACAGGCATGCTAACCTCCAGCCCTGTCCCTCTCCTCCTTCTTGCTTCAGTCTGATGCGTCCAGATGCCTCAAACCACTGGTTCTCAAAACGGGGTCCTGGATGAGCAGAGGCATCATCACCTGGTACCTGTTCCAGAAGCAGATTCTCAGCCCAGCCCAGACATACTGAGTCAGAAAGTAAACACTCAGGAAGTGGAGCCTATGACATGTGGTTTAACAAGCCCTCCAGGTGATTCAGACACAGGCCAATAACGTTTCAGAACCCTGCACTATATGCCTCCATGTGCTTATTCCGTGGCATCTCAACCAGTTCTCAAAAGCAAAGTCATTTTCCTTTTTCTCAGGGCAGCTGATTTCCCTAGTTTTCGTAAAGCTACCTTATTTACCAGTAACACAAGATCAGAGAGCACAAGTTCAATATGGTGCGCCTCCAAAACACAACAAGTATTTAATAGAATTGTGATTGAGTTATGACTGCAGAGCATGAAGGTAATTCTTCATACGGCTATTGAGAAAAAAACACTATGAAGCTTAGGACAGAAAGAACAAAAACGTACTAACTCATGTAAAAGTGTCCATCGGTCCACCTTGTTTGGGAGTACATGAAAATAAAATAAAGGACACCCTAAGAGAATATGTGAACAATGTATTTTATATATTCATAAATAATTTCTTAATGTTTTTTTAAAGTATGTTACTGTACATTTTAATAAGTAGAATGGACAAATGTTAACCAACTTTCTTGCCAATAGGTTTCAGCCCCAGGCAAGTTCACTGTGGATTCAGCGAGACTGAGGAATGGCAATGGAACATTCTTGGGGTAAAAGGGTTTATAACCTGGCAACAGGCTGAGCACTGTAACTACATTAGCATCCAACAGTCTGCAGGTCTGCAATCCTCTTTCCTCTCTGCCTCTGCTCACAACAATGGGCAGAGGTTTCTATACAGTGACTCAGTCAACAATAGCTTATTGCCTATGGGTGTGGAAGCAGTAGCCTAGCAGTAGGCCAATTACATCATCAAGTAGTTTATGTTCAGGTGGGGATCCTGGCCATAGGAACGCCAGCTTTACCCACATCAATGTAAGATCAAACAATATTTCAGTTAAAGTGTTTAAAATGTCTACCACTGGTACCAATGAAGGTTTGGTGTGTTACTAACACTTGAGAGATGCATGAGTTTTTAGTATGCATTAAATCAGCATGTAGAATATTAAGCCCCTTCCTATTTACTCCCCTTTATCTCCAAGAAGCTATGTATTCATTAACTCTTCACTCAAATCCTTTGGAAAATTAGATACTACATGCACTAGGTCCTAAGGCAACTAAAAAGATGAGCCAAAACTGAAATAAATTTCAAAAGAGCAAAGGGCTAAATTTACATATTCAGTATTCTTCTAAACCACTGAACTTAGAAAATTTACCCAAAATTGATTTTCCTTCATCTAGAAATAAATTTTTAAAAAGTCAAGAACAAATGGTCTAATAAATAAGCACATGTAAAGATGTTCACTATTTGCCATCAGAGAAATGTGAATCAAAACCACTTCACACCAACTAGTATGATAGTATGACTAAGATAAAAAAAAACAAACAGTAAGTGTTGATGAGGATGTAGAGAAACCAAAAGCCTCATACATTGTTCATAGGATTAAAGACTGGTGTAGCCACTTTGGAAACCAGCCCAACAATTCCTGAAATGTTAAATATGGAGTTACCATGCTTTCTTTCCACTTATAGGTATATGCCTTTCAAAAGAAATGAAACTATATGTACACATGAAAGCTTGTACATGAATGCTCACAGCAGCATTATTCTTAATATCATTTTAATATATAAAATAATATTAATAACCAAAAAAGAGGTAACCTAAATGTCCATCAATTGGGGAATCTGTATCAATCAAATGTGGTAAATACATACAATGGAATATTATTTGGCAATAAAAAGAGAGAGGCACTGATATGCACTTCATGTATGTTATCTACATTCATGTAGATAAACCTTGGAAACATATGCTAAGTGAAACAAGCCAGACATACAGGACCACATACTGTCCAGAACAGGCCAATCCATAGACACTTAGGTGCTTAGGGTGGGGGAGTGAGGGGATTGGCCAGTGCCAGCTGACAAATCTCTGTAAGGAGAATGCCCATGATTTGATTTTCCAGGGACTGGACTAGTTAGCTACACTAATCCTCCATTTACGCCACCTGTAATCTAGGTGCTCACTCATCAGAGGTCTGGTGGTCCATGGAAAGAACCCTTTGCTCTTCTGGAATTAATTTCAGTCCAGCTCATCTTTTTATTGCCTCAGAGCCCTAGTACATGTAGTACTTGATGTTCCGAAAGATACTGAGAAGTACATAGCTTCTTGGATGTGAGGGGGAATTAGTGGATGTGGATTTATTATTCCACATGGAAGGGCCATGGAAAGAACCATAGTCTATAGCAGGAAGACCAAGGTTGGCTGAAGTTTTCTCACCTGTAAAATGAGGAAACAAAGAGATACCTTTCTCAAGGTCCTCATAAAGATTTCATAGAAATATATCTGAAAATGCCTGTTCACAACAGGCACTCAACAAATGTTCACTGATGCCAAATCAAACGGTCTGATCCCTTGATCTCTCTCCCCATGGAGACCAGTAAGTTCTTCTAGACATTCAGGATTCTAAACCTCAAATCTCAAGAGTGATGATCAACATCAAAAGTGGTTGATAAGATCTGCCAAACCTGAAATAATGGCTACACAATTTTAAAGAATAATTATTAATCTTACTTCAAATTTAATATAAAATTATGCTCTTATGTACCTTTAGATTAATTTTTCACTGTCTTAGCTTGTGTGTATTTACTCTAGTGACTTACAATCCTAATCATATTTTGGAATCACCTAAATATTGCAATGCAGAGATTCTCACTTAGTAGGTCTGGGTTACTTTCCATTTTTACAGACCTCCCCAAATGATTCCCCAGGCATCATTGAATCGCTGATAAAAATCACTCATTGGACACTTTCTAAGGAATTTCTTTTCTTATGTGTGGACTACAAAATAGCATTTGTTCACCAAATAAAAAGATGAACTGTATTGCTATTTCAGATGTGAACACAGTGAAGGAAGAGAAACCTTTTCTCTTTTGCCTTACTGGAATTCAAAGGAAATAATCTGAAATTCTGTAAATTCAAAAGGTTCTTGAAGAAGAATTTCCTGTCCGATCTTGCCCATTCGAAATATCGTCATTAAACATTTCAAAGGGACTTTTCAATCAAAGGAAGTTGTAAGTTCCTTCCTACAAATTGACAGCCTCATTCTAATGAAAGTCATAACAAAAATCAAGGGTGTCTTAGAAAGAGAAAAAAGGATCTGGGATGAATTTAAAGGATCTCCCACTACTCAGCTACTTATTAATTCTTCCCACTATCTCTGATCATCTATGTTCAACATTCTTGATCTATATATAACATGAAATGAAACGATTTATATTAGTTCACCAGTTCACATCTTTGTCATCATGAAAAGTATGTCCTCGAATCACAAGCTGGACAATTTTAAGCAAATGCATATGACTTTCATTGTTACAGAGTTTTTCTAAATTATACAAACATTTTTACAACTAGAAATAATGTTGTTGGATCATTTGAATCATTTAATACTAAAGCAGAGGCAGAATAGTTTGGGGGATTTGGGAAAATTACCTCAATCTTCCTGAACTCTTGCAGTGGTCTATATTTATCAGAAAGAACTTTTTTTCATCAAGGTTTATTACAACTAGTTTCAAAAATGAGTTTGAGTCACCGTTTAAAAAAACTAAACCTAATATAAACAGGACACCTAAATAAAGCCAGTTAATAGAAGTGCAGGGATAGATTTTTACTGGGCATGTACTTATTACCATATGTAGTTAATTAGTGCAATCTGAGCCCTGGGTAGCTCCCTTTCCAGCCAAACCAAAAAGGAAATGCTCATGGGGTTGTCTCTATTTTTTTTAAAAAGCATATGTATTCTTAAGAACCTGAGCAATAGTGCCATGTCCACCCGGAGAGAGATCCAGAAATCTCCAAATGTTTGTTCATATTCTGCAAACACTATACTACTTTTGCTTTACATTCCTATTCAACCTTTTCTTTACCTTACCAAAAATATCATTTAAAGTATCCAGAACCTCAGAAGCTGAGGAGGCAGGGAATAGGGTATTTTTAATGAGTTTCTGTTTGGGACTAAGAAAATTCTGGAAATGGACAGTGGTGATAGTTGTACAGCACTGTGAATGTACCTAATGCTACTGAACAGTACACTTAAAAATGGTTGGAATGGTCAATTTTATGTTACTTATATTTTATCGTAACAATAATAAAAGAATACACATTCCAAAATTTTGCTAAAGAACCTGACATCCTTGAAGCCATCACCTAGAAACAATCAAGTTTGTCCTAGTCTGGCCAAATGAAGGTCCAAATGTAGGGGATGAAAGTGTACAGAAATGTATTGTAAATCACTTCCTTACACAGGACAGGAAACTTCACCCCAAGGTAATCTAGGCCAGCACCACTTAAACGTTAATATGCAAATGATCCCCTGGGGATCTTGATTCAGCAGGTCTGGGTGGGGCCTGAGATGCTGTGTGACTCCAGGGCGGTCGCGACCTCACTAGGAACAGCAAGGCCTCAGAGCACTCGAAGTAAACAGACTGTCACCCAGTCAGCGGACCCATCTAGAACCACTGTCCCTTCACCAGGAAATGCAGAGGGCTGATCCTATCTTTTCAAGTGAATTGGTTAACGACGAAACTTACCTACCAACCACCATTAATTAAAAAGCGTTGGGAAACTTGGCAAGGTCTGCCTGAAGAGGTGTCTCCGGAGTACCTCCACCTCCGGGACAAGGAAGCCGTCACAAACGATAAGGATAGCAGGCAGAGGCGGTTTCTTGTAGAAAAGTCCTTACCGCAGACTTCAGAACAATCTTGAAATACCATTCTCAAGCTCGAAGAATGCCTGGAATTCAGTGGCCTTTATCCAACATAAAGATTTCCAACTCAGTTTTGACTAAATTCCCTATAGAAGAACCTTGCAATGCAGCCCTTTAAAACAGACAACGCCCAGCACGTGACAAGCTCGGCACCTCCCTTACATAAGGGTCAGAAACTGCAGAGAAACAACAAAAGTTCTCCAACACCACCGCTCGGCGGGTTGCACGGGCAGGCGAGCGCCTCGGGACTGTACAGTCGGGCTCTCAGGTGTGCGGAGCTTTCACGCCCCGCAGCTGAGACTTGGCTGGCAGCGCAGGCGGACCCCACCTGCTTGAACTAGCAGCTCCTCCCTCGGCCTGTGTAAACCCTAGGCACCGGCTCGTGTCCCCTCCAGTTACTGCAAACACTGGCTGCGCCAACAGAAACTCAGAGGCCTTTTATCTGGTTAAAGAGACGCTCAACAGAAAGTGAAACAGTAAACAGTTCCCATTCCCTGCAGGAGAGGACGCCAGGCCAGGTAGGGAAAAGACGGTGGCTCTCAGTCACCTGTAGCTGACACAGGTGCGCGCTTGAACCTATTTCCAGACGATTCCCCAAGAGAAACCCAGCTGTGCACTGTTGTACCCCAGGAGGATGAGGCAAAAGTCAGTTAAGCATCCCCAGAGAGGAAAAAAACAGTGCCCAATAAAGTACACCCCGAATCCACAGGGAGATCTGGGGGGTAAGGGGGACGGTGGCATCACTCGCATTTACTCGAGTTGCCCTCACCTCTGGCTGCACGACCCATCCAGAGCGCAAGCGCCCCGTCATACCCCGCAAATGCCTCCCTCGCCAAAGTGGGGACAGGAGGGAGGCGTCCCGGCGACGCCCGAGCCAGAGCTGGCGCGCCAGGGCTGCTCCTCCGGCCGGGCGACGGGCAGCGCCCGGACGCCCCTTTGGCGCTCCGGGGCGGAGGAGCGAGAGAGAAGGGTACTCGCCTGGAGGCGGGCGGCGGGGTCCGGGCGGCGCTGGGGCGCGCTTCGGCACGGCGCCTGCGGCTGCGCTGGCGTCCCCTGCGCTCCTCGCGCTCGCCGCTGATGGCGCCTCGCCGGAGCCGAAGGGCTGCAGGCTGCCCTGGGAGTGGGCGGGTGCGAGTGGCCTCGGCCGCTGCTCCTCTGTATTATTGTGACTCAGGCTATTTCCTGTTTGGAGGAATATCCAATGTGGAGGCAGGGGGAGTTGGGCGGCGGCGAGCCAGAAAGCGGCGGCAGGAGGGGTGACGGCAGTGGGCAGTGGCTGTCACTTGCTTGCTTGAGACCCCGAGGGTGCCAGGCGCGCAAGCCCGGGAAGGACACGCAGCTTAATGCAGCGCTACTATTTGGGGTGTCGGGAAGGCCTGAGGTGGGGGTGCTCATACGCCACCCAGCGGTGGGGCAGGGGCTGCGGCCACCGCCACCGCCTTGTCTCTCGAGCCAGGGCGCCCACTACCCTGAGTCTTTCCTTCTCCGCGAAACTACCGCTGAGCTTTCTTCCCACCCAAGGGCGAGGGACCTCGCTGTGCTGCCTTCTTCTGCGTAGGTTGGCTTTCTGGTCCTCCCCAGCGCTGTGGGCAAGGAAGGGGGTAGCTCCGCTACCTTTCCAAAGACCACAGATAGGGATGCTGTGGGCCTTTGTGGGTGTTTGATGGTGTTGGGGGGGTCGTGTTTTTTGTTTGGTGGGGGGGAAGGGAGGCAGGTTAAGAATTTTGGTGGAAAGTTAACTTTTATGGTCAGCTTCCGTTCCCCTCCTCCACCAACCTCTCCCTTAGCCTGCATCACAGGGTCTGTGGCCCCAGTCCGGAAATACCGGTTCCTCCCGCTGGGACAATAGGTGCGGTAGTGAATATTAACCCCGGAACCCGCTTAATCACAGCGGAATCCCTGGCCGGGAAGGCAGAATCTTTCTAGTGCCCAAGCCTGCAACTGGAAAGCAGGTGCTCCTTCCATTTAGTCTTGTTAAAAATCCTGGCAAGACAACGGGGAGTTAGTGTTTAACGGGTGCAGAGTTCTCCTCTTGGGATGATGAAAAAGTTCTGGAGAAGGGTGGTGGTGTTAGTTGTACAATAATGTGAATGTACTTGATGCCAGTGAATTTATGTCTATAAATGGTTTAAATGGTCGGTTTTATGTTACGTGTAATTTACTACACACACACACACACAAAAAAAAAAAAAGTACTGGGGAGGTCATGCCTTCATTCAAGACAGCTCTGCATATGACTGCCAAGCCCTCCTCCCTACACAAACCTTTGCCAGTAGTAATGGAGTGAATAACAGTGCCTCTTATAAAACTCAAGTTCATTTAGTTTAGACGTCTGGGTCTCCTATCAACAAGTTATTCTAAGAAGTGGGTAGACTGAGCCTGGAGGACAGTGCAGTTTTTAAGAAGATGAACAGTTTATCAGAAACAGTATGTTAGCAAGATGAATAAAGGTGTATTGGTATGCTATTGTTTACGATAGCAGGGATGCAAACATAATGCATTTATTTTTCTTTTAAGTGTAAAGATAAATTATTAAAATAGTTATCTATTTGGGAGAGAAGTAAGAAGATGGAAAATACAATGATAGAAGCTAGACTTCTCTGTATCTTGTTTTTATATTTGATTTTGGAATAGAAATTACAAAAAAATTAAGTCAAAAGTTTAAAAAACAAGAGGCAATAAATGAATGTAGGTATTAAGTTAGTGACTTAACCATATAAAGGAAAATTACATCAGATGACTTCAAAACAATATTATTTAACTCTTCATCCCTTAGGTATATACCCTAAGGGATGAAGAAAATGTTAAAAAATAATAATAACCTACTTTTCAGTAATAATGTTAGTAGTAATTATGTTAGTGTCCTTAAGAATCAAGATTTTTCAGTATAAAAGAGATAAAGTCAAAGAAGTTAGGCAAAGTTAAATTTGAATTGGAATTACATTTTAGAACTTGTGATATAATTCTCTTGAAATCTTTTTCAAAGGTCTAGTTACTCAAAATGCCCACCAAACAGTGACCAACTTGGTAGAAATAAACACTCCTAGTTCCCAGATCATGGTCTCTGAATACCATTTTTCCCTAAAAGGAACTAGATCTACCTGTAGTTGTGGTTGATTTTAGGTCAGAAGCAAGAAGTATCCACAATAAGCCTGGAATATCTTGTCAATTCAGAAAGCAAGGGAGCTATCAAAAGTGAACAGTTTACATCAAATGGAATCTGGAACCAACTTGCAGAAGCACCCACTGACCAGAGTGGGATAAACTGAACAACAGTGAGAAAAATAACTGCAATTAATTGAAACATACCAAATACATATGTATTATAACTCTAAGAGTTATAATAAAACTTGAGTAAACATTGGTTACCTCTGCAGATGCAATAGAACTGGTTATTTATAAGAGGAAAGAATTACACATTTTACTGCCTTTTTTGGACTGTATCTAACACTTTTTAGATACCCCTTCAGATTCTCTCTGTCTCACCTGTCCATTACTCCAGCCACTTCTGCAGCAACAAGTTCTAGGTTGGCTCTATCCAACTTCATGCAGGAACAACCTGAAATAACCATTGCCTATCTCCCACCTCAGTGCTTTTCTGTTAAAGCCAGTGTGGGAATCCATGGAAACTATCTAGGTACCTATGTATACAGTATTCTGAAAGTGGGCGACTTAATGCTTCATGGTCTAACAAAACACCAGTGGGGGACTAGAAGTAGGTAAATTAATATTCCTCCCTTCTCCCTGATGATGAACTATCCTGAGACTCAGTCTGTATCACTTCTCAGCAATCAAGTCACACAGAATCAACTAATCAGGTGCTGAAGCAGTAGTTTATTGAGTGAGGCTCTTTTGAATTGGCTCTCTGCCTTCTCTGTCCCTAGGACCCCAATAAAGCTCATGTCTCAACATTCTGCTTCCTAGGAGACTAAAGCTAAGATATGTACAAATTGTATCTCAGGATAACTAAATAGTTGATGAGGGTCTTGCCACTGGGTTTCAGCCCCAGGCAAGTTCACTATGGATTCACTGAGACAGAGGAATGACAATGGAACGTTCTTGGGGTAAAGGGGTTTATTACCCTGCTTGTTCTCCTGGAGATAGGTCAAGCACTAGAATTACATCTGCATCCAACAGTCTGCAGGTCTGCAATTGTCCTTCCTCTCTGCCTCTGTCCAGAGCACTGGGAAGAGCTCTTTATATAGTGACTCAGTTAATAACAGCTCATTGCCTATGGGTGTGAAAGCAGTAGCCTAGCAGTAGGCCAATTATATCATCAAGTGGCTTAGGTTCAGGTGAGGATCCTGGCCATAGGAACTTCAATTTTGCCTACAATGAGGAAATTAGCTAATAAATAAGTAATGCCAAAAAAATTTTTTTGATTAAGTTATCATTGATATACAGTCTTATGAAGGTTTCACATGAGCAACATTGTTGTTTCAACATTCACCCATATTATCAAGTACCCCCTCCCCCCCCCATTGCAGTCACTGTCCATCCACATAGTAAGATGCTGTAGAGTCATTACTTGAGGAATGAGACAATTTTAATATCAGCATTTTGCAAAACCATAATAAAATAATGGATCAAGTCAGTAGTCATCTCTGGCTACTAACATCACAGAAAAGATCACCAGACATGTGCCACCTGATGGAAACATACACCACCACAAATGGCACATTTTTGCCAAGAAGGACAAACTTGAATCTGATCAAGCTTCTAGATTAAACTACCAGTATAATTACTGGGATAGAAGAATGTGTTAAACAACACTATTACAGGGTACAATCAACAAAATCCAGAGTGTTGAGAAACTGGTAGAGACATATGACCCAGGTTCCTTAGCAAGCAGAAAGGCATTAAAAATGATCAGGGGAGAAATCCATAGATTACAAGACTTACCCAATAGCAGTGAAACACAATGTGTATTTCCTGTGTGGATCCTGATTGAAGCCAACCAACCACTAAAAAAATACCTTAAGGTATTTGAGGGAAACTTGATATTCCCTAAATTAGTAACAATTTAAAAAGTGTGTTAACCATGTGCCACTGAGATAATCTAGTATATGGAGCTGATGTTGCTACTACACGTTTAGGTGGCATATTTAGTTTTTATATGTCACATATGTGCACAAACAAAACACCTGTTTA